GGCCGGCCCCCCCAGGGCCCTGGACAGGGGCATGGTCCTTGCCCTGCTCCTGCTGGCCACACCATTCCTACAAGCCAGGATGCCATCGGCCCTCTTAGCCACCTGGACACCCTGCTGGCTCATATTCAGTCAGCTGTCAACCATCACCCCTAGGTCCTTTTCTGCCAGGCAGCTTTCCAGCCCCTCTTCCCCACGCCTGTAGTGTTGCATGGGGTTGTTGTGACCCCCGTGCAGGACCTGGCCCTTGGCCTTGTTGACCCTCACCCAATTGGTCTGGGCCCATGGATCCAGCCTGGCTAGATCCCTCTGCAGAGTCCTCCTCCCCTCCAGCAGATGATCACTCCTGCCTAGATTAGTGTCATCTGCAGGACTTTAAGGACTCCCATTCCTCGTTGGTGTTGCGTCCCACTGGATTAGCCAGTGAGTGCTCCAAACAAGAGGGTGTTTAATTGTGACATGTACCTGCCAGGTGTATGAGCTGAAAGCGGACCCGTGCGGACACTGCCTGATCATCAACAATGTCAACTTCAGTAGAGACTCGAATCTGTCGACTCGAGTCGGCTCCAACGTGGACCGCAAGAAGCTGGAGAAGCGCTTCAAGGCCTTGCGCTTCAATGTCCTGACTTGCCAAGATCTCAGAGCTCAGGTGAGGCCAGCTACATCTGGCTAACATGAGGGATGGGAGGAGAGCCCTTGGGAGCGGTGGGAGCACGTTACGGGACATAACCCCGAGTTGGCAGCACGCTGAAAGCCCTGGCCTGTGCTGCACAAATAAACGCTCGAACACTGATACTCTCTTATTTTATTGTCCTGCTGCAAATGCAGAAGGAGAAGGGACCTTGCACGCTTTCACCCTTCTGCCCAAACTGTGATTCCCGGTTGTGATTTGCAGGGGGTTGGTGAGGCTGTATCTCTGTGACAGATCTGATGGCCTCTGCCTTGTGTGCAGCCTGGGGCGTGATTTGCTTGTCTGTACAGGCCTCGGCTGCTACTCGAAGCGGTGGGGGGGAGCTCCATCATCCTGAAAGTGAACCGAGGTTCTCTGCTCACCCACTGGCCCCTCAGCAGTGGAAAAATCCCATGGAAGCATGCTTGGGTTTATGTTGCTGTGTTGTAAAGAATGCAGCGAGGAGAGAAATCTCTGGTTTTTAGCAGCCAATGTTAGATAAGGGCAGAACTGCAGAAATACTCACTGTCTGCTGATGGGTTTTGCCGCCTGTACGTGGGGCGCTTGTTACCCCGTGGCAGAGAGAGTGATTGGATCCTTCTGAGCGGTGCGGCCATGATAAACCTATAAGAGCGGGGCCCTGCAGCAATCTGTGGCTGAGGTACAATTTGAAAAGCTCTTACCGTGGTGTTTTCTGTGTAGGAAATGGTTTCAGAGCTGCAGAAGCTGGCGCAGCAGGACCACAGCGCCTTGGACTGCTGCATCGTGGTGATCCTTTCCCACGGTTGTCAGGTGGGTTCATCGCGCCTTTCCCTTTGCTTGTTATCCAGGTTGCCCGTGCGGGAAGGGGTTCGTTCCCTGCGCCACAGTCTCAGGCACCGGGTGGGAGGCAAATGGTGTGTCACGACTGATCTGACTGCGAGTCACCCTCTCGTGTCTGGGTTGAAGGAAACAGGACCTTCTCTAGCGTAGTCTGATCCAGTGTCGCCCGTGGACGAGTGCTCTCCGTTTCGGAAGTTGGGTGCATAATGCAGAACTGAAGGATGGGCAGAGAGCGAAGGGAGGCAGCGCTAACCCTCCTACTGTGCTCGTTTAGTCCTTCCTGTTTCTCCAGCTCCGCGAGTCACCCTCTCGTGTCTGGGTTGAAGGAAACAGGACCTTCTCTAGCGTAGTCTGATCCAGCGTCGCCCGTGGACGAGTGTTCTCCGTTTCGGAAGTTGGGTGCATAATGCAGAACTGAAGGATGGGCAGAGAGCGAAGGGAGGCAGCGCTAACCCTCCTACTGTGCTCGTTTAGTCCTTCCCGTTTCTCCAGCTCTGACCGGGGGGGATGCTGTTAGTAGTAAAGCCTATTTTATAACGCAAGTCAGAGGCTTTGAAGGATGAGGCGAGGAGAGCAATTTTTAGGGAAGTGGTGTATGTTATGTGCCCCTTGTCCCGGAGGATGAAAAACCCCATTGCTGGAGGAGGCGGGACAGGAGTTGCATAAAAAGAGGAGTCACATTGATGGGTTTTAGTGCATTTGAAAAGATTCCTGGGCGTCCCCTCGCCCTGATGTGGTACACGCGTTTGCACAAACGCAAGGAAGTGCGGTTTGTTCCAGTAACTTTAGGCTACAAAGCACCCCGTCAGAAAGGGGCTCCCTCGGAACCAGCCTTGCCTTCTGCGTTACTAGCTCCTGGACTTTCCTCTTGCAGACGAGCCATATTCAGTTTCCCGGAAGCGTTTACGGAACGGATGGAAAACCCATTCCAATAGAAAAGATTGTGAACTATTTCAATGGGTCCAATTGCCCGAGTCTGAGAGGAAAACCCAAACTCTTCTTCATCCAGGCCTGTGGCGGAGGTGAATCTTTGTTTTGGCTCCTGAAGCGAATCAGCTGTGGGGCGTAAGCAGGCTTGGGAGATACGGATAGGCTTTGGCTTCTCATTCCTTTCTTGTTCGTCGCCTCTTTCTCTGGCTGTCTTCTCTTAAGCTCAGCCACATATTCGTACTGCTAGCCCGGGTCGAGCCTCAGGGCTTGGACACGAGCCTCTCGTACGAGGGCGGTGCCAATTTGCGTGGGCTGGAATGCTTTTACTGCGCAGTAGGGAGATGTGGGATGGAAGGAGGGGAGGGATTGCAGCACAGTGCCAGGCAGCATGTGCTGGCTGGCCACTCCAGGTCTGCAGCCCTGAGGTCGGCGGGGAAGCACGGACTGAGGGCATTGGCGTCAATCGCCCCATGGCTCCGACTCGACCAGTGCAGCCGAAGAGCCAAAAAGCTTTGATTCTTTGGAGGGCCTTGTTTTGATTTGATTTTAGTCTTTTCCTCATGGAGTATGTAGGGTGGTCGAATGCTTGGGTAAGATAAATTTCAGGGATTGTCTTCTCAATGTTTTTTGCAGACCAAAGAGACCGAGGTGTGGAGGTGGCTTGCGATTCACCCAGCGAAGAAGCTCCCGGAGGTTCTTTAGAGTCGGACGCAACTCCTTTTCGGATTCCAGCAGGCAGCGGGGATGAGCCGGATGCTGTAGCCAGTTTGCCCACGCCCAGCGACATCTTGGTCTCCTACTCAACCTGCCCAGGTAAGAGAGCCCGTGCAAATCCTTTGCTGGGTACAGGGGAAGTAGCAAAAAAGTCAGAGCTTCGTGGCTGAAGTAGGAGGCAACCGGCTCCATTGGATGGCACCCTGTGAGCGGCAGTAACACGGTGAGGTGAGAACAGAAGAGTGGCTTTAGCAGTAATGTTCTCGTTCTTTCTCTGAAGGTTTTGTCTCCTGGAGGGAGGTGTCGAATGGCTCATGGTATGTGGAGATGCTCGACAGCGTGCTGGAG